TATATTACCGAATATACGGATAACAAAATAAAACAGATATTAACCGGGTTTTCGGATTTTATCCGTAATCACCAAAATCCCAGCCCTAATTGCAATTTTGATGATTTTTGGCAAGCAGTAGGTGTGAGAAAATTGAAAGCCAAAAATGATTTAGTAGCTTCACCGTTTGCCAGAGGTCGAAATAATGTTTGTTAGGACATCCTGTAAAAACTCTTGTTACACTGCATCTCCATTGGCGTTCAGTCATCGCAAGCATAAGATTTCATTTCAAAAAACTTGTAGAACAGAAGGCTTCTTTGCTTGGTCCAAGTTATTTTGAGCATATATGTATGTATGTACAGTGGTTGAAAAATAAATAGTGACACATTTTAACAAATTTTTCCTTTTTTTTACTTATTGGTCTAATATTTATTATTTTTTATAAAAGTATAGCTCATTTTCTAACGTAAACCATATAAATTCACGTTTCAAACTTTGTATAAAAATTTAAAAAAATCTGCAAAATTGCATTTTAACTTTCAATTTTTTTATCAGATTTTTTGAGTATGCAGTTTTATAGCCCATTAAATTTTAGTAGAATGAAGTGTATGTTTTAAGTTGCTTAAAAATCGCATTGATTTTTGGAATTTTTTTATCGCATTTTCTTCCATACATTGTATGTAAAAGTATGTCCGACAACTTTTTCTTTGTATGGAAAAAATTGCGTAATACATTCAGAGTAAAAGTTATCAAAAATCAACGCGATTTTTTAGGAACTTCAAACGTACACTTTATTCTACTAAAATAATGGGCTAAACTCCATTCCAAAAAAAAATCTAAAATTTATAATTAAAAAGTTAAAAATGTAGATGCAATTTTGCTGAAATTTCGTAATTTTTGCACAATGAAATATCAATTTATATGGTTTTTGTTAGATAATGAACTTTATTTTTATAAAAATAAATATTAAATAAACAAAAGAAAAATAGGAAAAAATTGTTAAAATGTCGTGTATTTTTCCATCCCTGTATATATATGTATGTATTCACATAAGAGCGTGTCAGACGTGGCAATATATTTCGTATGCAATATATTTCTAAAAGTTTGTCAAATTGAGAAATTTCAGAGAGCAGTTGCATGAGCAGCATGCAAAGTGTCTTTCGAAAGACGTTTTTTATTTCCAAAAGGCGAATTGCAGGAAAAATTTATGAAATCGCTTTTTGGCTGTTCACAAAGCGAATGAGTTTCTGCCAATCTTTCTCGATACTAAAATGCAACCATGGGCGGTGGGGTTGCTGTTTGTTTGCTATTTGTCTTGTAAAAGCGAGAACGATAACGCGAAAAATGAATACTCGACGTAAGCTGCAATGGAAAAGAAAGCAATTTTATTAAAAATTATTTCCATTATTATTAAAAAAAAATAGAAGTGGATGATTCGCATACACGTCGGTCTGTTTGGGTAAGAAAATTTTGGGAGCGCGGTGCAAACAACCCATACTACACTACTGAAGTCTTTATTAGATAAATTTATCAATCCTTTGTGGATACTCTATAATATAACCAACAATGCTCGCAATCCCGTACTCAGTCAAAACAACATAAAGCCATAAACAAGCAAGAATCAAAGCCACAAAATATAGGTTATAATTACCATATTTTCCATGTGAACAATAATTTAACAGTTTAGTATATTAAGTAAAGTAATAAATTTCAAGCACTTTTGATATTTAATTCAACAATATTTTTTATCATTTTACACAAATTCACGCACAGTGCCACGCGGCAATACTCGATTAGTTTGACAGCACTTGCAGAAGAAATATAAATTGTTATTGCAGCACGAGCAAGTTGAAATATATTTCCGAAATCGATTTTCGCTCTTTCAGTTGCGGTAACACCTTGCAACTTTTATTTCTGAAACTGATTTCCGAAGTGACAGAAAGATCTTTTTTGGCTGTTCTCACATCGAAAACAATTTCTCTTTCTCAATTTGACAGCGAATTGCGTGGAAAAGACGGAAATATTGCCACGTCTGACAGGCTCTATATAATGGTCTCCACATAATTAGGGAGACTACTTTTTAATAAGTTTTACCCATTTATTTTTTATATAAATACATACATGTTTTGTAAATTATTACTTTTTTCTAAAAATATGTATAGTTTATATTACTACGAAAACAATGCAACTCACAGTTTCTAACTTTTACAAGCTTTATAAAGAATACCCGCCAAATGTCAAAAAATAGTTTAATTAGATTTGTTTATATGTTTTAGAGAAAATGAGCAACACCGTCAAAAACATAAATTCTCAAAAATCTATGCGAATTCTTAGCCGCTTAAAACTTGCACAATACTACTAAAATTGAAGGGGCTATAAATATAAAACTGCATCTAGAAATTCTGATTAAAAAGTTTGAAGTTTTGGATGACCATTTTTCGAAACTTGGTGATTTTTTATTAATCTTGTATAATGTTTGAAACTTTGAATAACTTGGTTTTCGTTGCGGTATAAACTCAATTTTGTAAAAAAAATAAATAAAAAAAAAAATGGTCAGAGCTTGTAAAGTAGTGTAGTGTCCCTAATTATGTGGCTGCTACTGTATACTAGAAAAAACACAGCTTTCAACAAAATGTATAGTAAAAACCATCATAAAAATATAGCAAGGTAGAACCGTTGAGAGACTCTTTTAAAATTCTTAGCGTTTGCAAGCAATTTAATTTAAATAAAATTTAAACTCCAACACACATTTTCATTTCAATCCCGACAACATAAATTTTGAACATTTTCTTTTTTGTTCTCAATTTTATGATTTTAAAAAGCTGGCTAACTTGAAAAAAATTTCATGGCCCACGAATTGAGAGTACGGTTTTACCTTACTATGTTTTAATCATGATAAAAACCGAGATACAATATTTTTTAGAAGGTAGGTTCACTTGTTCTTCTTATCCGCCATGTTAGCTATCTGACAGAAAACGTGTTTTGTATTCTTTGTTGTACCAGCTCTTTCAAAAAAAAAAAAATCCAGCTTTTAACGTTGGAAAAATAAAACAAAGGAAAGCCAAGCATATACATAAGTATAAAATTTTCTAATATTTTTTAATAATTTTCTTCATAAAAAATTATGAAAGAATTAACTGCTGCTTCCGGGGGTATTGCAACACACGCAATAGATGTCAGGATACAGCTATGTATAAGAGCCACCGCGTACCACAGACTTTATCGGCCGCCTATTTAAATAGTGGTGCTCGCTTCAATATGTAGATGAAGATGTATGGAGGTGCGCACACTACACCAACTTAATCGCGGGGCCGATTAAACCCGTAGTGTGTGATGGATCTAAAACACTTTAAACAAGAAATATTGCCGCCACATTTTCGTTTTTATGTTTTTTATTCATGCGATTAGCAGTGGCAAGAATGTATGTTTTAATTACGTACATGTATATTAAAAATGAAATGATCAGTTATAAAATATATAAATCTTTACATGTTCTGTTGCAAATATCTAAAATATCAAGCGAAAATCCCCAAGTTCTATACCGTAGCAGTGGCCATATTGCGTGTTTTTCACAGACACGGCTTATGTCAAAAAATTTGAAGTGAAACTACCTTCTAAAAATTATTGTATCATGGTAAAAACTATACTGTAGCAAAAACAAGCTGTCAAACGCACTATTTGGCAGCTCATCACCTGCGATAGCTGTCAAGCGATATCTCCTGCTACTTATCGCCTGCGATATGCCATGGTCTTCACAAATAATTCAGCGCCGGAGTGGTATCTCACGCGATTGTTCGACGCTAATGGATACGTAGGGTTGCATTCTCTCGTGGAGAAAACACCAATTTACCTGCTAAAGGTATTTTTTCTAAACGACAGAGAAAATGGGAATATAAAAATATAATTACTCGCCATAATATGGGGGGTAAAGTAGCACTATTAGTATTGCTACATGTCTTTCTTTTCCAAATTTGTATTCTTTTGCCGGCACATTAAATATTGATGTGGTTGCTTGCATCTGTATGTTTCCTCATCAACCACTCAGGTTAATCCTTTTTTGAAAAGATACAAAAATTAAAAAAGACACATTCATAACTCGAAAAAATATGAAATAATTCTCAAGGGTGAAATGTCTTTGCAGAAATCGTAAAAGCTCAATTTGTTGCTAGTGATTGTTTTGGTCATTCTAACGATTAAAGCCGGAGACCATTTGGTAAGTTTGAATGCGCCAGAAAAATTATTTCGTCTTAAAAACAGTATAATATTTGTACTAAGAAACTTTTGTATCGATGCATTTTGTATGTCAAGCAAAAAAACTTAAGTTTTCTTTTTGTGCTAAATCTTTAAATACATACATAATTATATCTTAAAAACTTTTGAAACGTTTTAAAATATAAATGAACTGAACGTGAACTAAATTTCAGATAATCTCGTACAAATTTGCGTCTGTGTGGCAGCACTTGTCTTAAACAAACAGGATTTTGAAGGGCAAAACCAATTCACATTATCTACCTACTTCACCCAAAAAAATGACAATAAAAACCACTTCAACTTTTCGAATCGAAATCGAACGCTTGAGCCAATTGCATGAGAATATGTTTGTGAAATATTTCGCCGCCGAGCGAAGTTTCCACTGAATATTCTGAAGCAAACAAATAAAAAGAGTGTGTATTGCAATAGAAAAATGCAACATCAATAAAATAAAGTTGAAAAAAAGAAACAATATTCATAAAAGATAAAAAATCATATAATACATAAAAAAAATAAAAACAAATTTAATGACTGAAGCAATGGACGATTGAATGGTGGGAAACTAGCCATCAAATTTAGCTCATTGCTGCAATTAAAAACATACTTTCTGTTTTCATAGAAAAAAGAACTAACTAATTCCTTTGATTTGTTTCTCTCATTCGCTCAACATCAAATTTTTAACGAACCAAATTCGATTGACGGCAAACCGCAACTTGCACGTCAATTGCGTCCTACCACACTTCCTTCTCCTATAAATATCTGTAAAATAGAATGCAAGCCGGGGAGATTACGATCAACCTGCCAACAGCCGAAAATCGCCCTATAGAGATCGCGAGGACAGCAGTACTGGTAAAGGTGGAAGCAAATCTTCTTCGTCAACTCATTTAAATGGTCGCAAACACTATTCAAGGTTGGTTTGTCGGTTTATAATTAGTTGAAGTGCAAATTGCTATATATTAAATATTATTGCACTAAGCAATTCGCTAACCTCTTATTCAAATTTTCAGAAGTCGTTCTGGTTCACCACGTACCACAGATGATCGTAAAGCCCGCAAATCGAAGGATCGTGAACGTCATCGCGATCGAGATGAAAGTCGTTATTCAAGGGATAGAGATCGCATTCGAGATAAGGACCGCGTTCGTGACCGGGAACGTAATGGCGAACGTGAAAGGCGTTATGGATCACAAGAGCGTGATCGCGAGCGCGATCGTGATCGTGGTATTGAAAAGCGACGGAGCCGATCCAAGGATAGACGTCGCAGCAGTCGTTCACGAGAACGTGAGCGCGAGCGACGTTCAAGAGAAAGACGTGGCAGTAAACCACGTTCAGAGCGTCGTCGTAGTCGATCACCCACTAGAGACCGTCGCTCAAGGGACAGGAAGCTTAGCCCTGTTAAAGAATTAAGAGGCGGAAGACCAGAATTTGTTTCAAGATCAAGAGAAAAAAGGTAACTTTTTTGTATACGTACATTCACTTTGTATGTCATTTTCTTAAAGGGTTTCGTGTTGTAAAATTTACTTCGAATTTGTTTCAGCAGCAAGCGCCGCAGTAACTCTCCGCGACCTTTCCGTCGGGGCCGAACGCCACCAAATGGTCTTGGTGATCGATCGCCCCGTGCTGATCTCAGCCCAGAGGAACGTGATGCCCGTACAGTTTTCTGCATGCAGTTATCCCAGCGCATACGTGCTCGCGATTTGGAGGAATTTTTCTCCAGCGTTGGAAAAGTACGAGATGTACGGTTAATCACCTGCAATAAAACCAAACGATTCAAGGGTATTGCTTATATTGAATTCAAAGATCCAGAATCAGTAGCACTTGCACTGGGTTTGTCGGGACAAAGACTATTGGGCATTCCAATTTCGGTGCAACATACACAGGCTGAGAAAAATCGTATCGCAAATGCGGCGCCCGTTTTTACGCCCAAAAATCATACAGGCCCTATGCGGTTATATGTAGGTTCTTTGCACTTCAATATCACTGAAGATATGCTTCGAGGTATATTCGAACCATTTGGAAAAATAGACTCCATACAACTTATAATGGATACAGAGACTGGTCGTTCAAAGGGATATGGATTTATTACGGTAGATCATTTTTGTATATATTTCCTGTACTCACTTTTTAGATTGTTTTACTTTTGGCGAATCAAAATTACAGACTCCAACGATTAAAAAAAATATGATAGAAAACTTTAAGACAAAGTAAAACCATTTCTTAAACCATTGTGGAATTATCTTTTTTGTTATTATTCTGTTTACAATTTCAGTATCACAATGCGGACGACGCCAAGAAAGCTTTAGAGCAATTAAACGGATTTGAATTGGCTGGCCGACCAATGAAGGTTGGAAATGTGACTGAACGTTTAGATATGAATACATCGTCTCTGGATACAGATGAAATGGATCGAAGTGGCATAGATTTGGGCGCTACTGGTAGACTGCAACTAATGTTTAAGCTCGCAGAGGGTGCTGGTTTGGCAGTGCCGCAAGCTGCTGCAAATGCGTTATTAGCCACTGCACCACAGCCCGCACCAGTTCAGACCCAAACGCAAACTCCGGCCATAGCTACGCAATGCTTTATGCTGTCCAACATGTTTGATCCGCGCACTGAGACTAATCCTGCATGGGATAGTGAAATACGTGAAGATGTCATTGATGAGTGCTCAAAGCATGGAGGTGTACTGCATATTTTTGTTGACAAAGCCTCTCCCACGGGTAACGTCTATGTGAAATGTCCGAGCATAACCACGGCAGTACTAGCAGTAAATGAACTCCATGGGCGCTGGTTTGCTGGCCGCGTCATTACTGCTGCTTACGTACCATTACTGAATTATCATTCTCTATTTCCGGATGCGATAACGGCGGTTAATTTACTAGCATCGAAACGAAAGTCTGGCGAATAAAGTGGTTACTGAAGGTTATTTTTAAGTAAATATGCTACAATTGGCTTTCAAATTTTATAAATCGGTCGGTTGTTTGGGCATGTAGTCCACATTATGTTCACCATGCATTCCTGCTCTCCTAAGCCTAGATGAGATTGATATTCGATCCACTCTCAGATTGCATCGTTTTTATAGACACAACACCCGTAGCAGACTTATTGCATGGGATTATATTCGACATCTGCCTAGTTGTAATCTAATCGTTCTAATTTTTTTCTGCTTATTTGTATTTTAGTAAAACTTTGAAGTTTGGTATACTGTAAAAATATGCATAATCTTATAAATGAACACAATTCAATGAATAAAACACATTCTATATATAGAATTTACTTTTAATTAATGTATTAAAAAATGTACGGGTGTAAGATGAAACAAATAGAAAGTGGGATAGCCATTTCTTGATCGAAATAAATGTTTACACAGGGTGTCCAAGAACTACCACGACAAACTTTAGGAGAAGGTAGGTGGGGGGCGGGGCTCCCTGATAAGCAAACATTTTACTTATAAAAAGGTCGCCGTTTTTGAAATATTGATATTTTTTTTATTAAAAAAGTCAGGCAAAGCTATATTTGGTAATTTTTTTCTCCAAAATACTTCCAGATAGTTTATCCACCATATTCAAATACAATAGGGGTATTCTCCAAATCTTGCAAAGCCATTGCACGTAGCACGGATTGCATAACTTGCAAACACACAACAACAAAATACATGGGAAACGACATTTCCTTACGCTGCAAAATATGCAACGTCGAAACCCATGTATATATTTTGCAAAATAGCATAGCAAGATATATGCGACCCTGTGCTAGTTGTTTTGTTGTTGGAATTGCTACATATTTCTCTCATTCCTCTCATCTCGCTCACTTCATTTTTTTCTGCTGTCTCTTGTTATTGTATTTGATACATAATTTCGCTGCTTGCTACCCATGCATTCTACCACTTTGCAATGGGGTGCTCTCGTACTCTTCGAAATTTGGGATAGTATTTTTGCATTTCGTGCAATACGTGCATCGTGCAATACTTCGAGAATACCCCTAATGTAGTTAAACGATATTAAGGACTAGTTTGAGATTTTTAACTTTCTGTGGTGAACAAAACTGTACTTAGCTATAAAAGCGAGGATATATCCTATGGGTATCGTCTAAATCAGCTCTTACCTCACGACCGTAGTAAGCAGTGCACTCGTCATTTTGAAGCCATAGTCTACGGCGCAGGTTCAAGGGTACATCTAATAGAATTGGAAACCATTCCTGCGGTCTCAGTATCTGGCAATTAAAAATACCGCGCCATAAATTTATTTTGTACTGGTACTGCGACCGATTTCTGAATTCATGAGGATTGTTTACCTGCCAACTGTAATGGTTATGTAAATTAAAATAACCACGTTTGCATGATGATTCATCGCTTCAAATTAATTTGTATCAAAAAGGTTGGGGTCTGATTCATGCGTTCGCAAGATTTCTCTGCCAAATCTAACCCTCGCCAGGTAATCTCTTTTTTTTTATCCTGAACACATTGAATGTGGTAATGATGAAATTGATGTTTCCAGTGTGGAATAAAGTAGTTTTATTCGTACCAAAACTGAAAAGATCACTCTAGCCTATAAACCAAGGATAGAAAAAAATAGTTATTTTCAAAATTTCAATTCAAAAAGTCAGTCGGAAAGAATTGGTCTTTTTCAAGTTTGTGTGTAGCAATGTGATGCTTGTTAGCCAAGCAATGTAAATCCTATATGATTTACTTTTTTCAAAAAAGTTTGCAATCAATCATTTTTTCATTGATATATATAAAAATTTAAATTTTACTTTTATTTTACCGGTCAAAAATAAAAGTTAAAAATTGTCTTTTTTTTCGTTCAAATATAAAATTTAGATTTGACTTTTTTATTTTTTCGGTCAATTATAAAAGTTAAATTTTACTTATTTTTTCGGTAAAAATCGCAGTTTACATATTCACAATACAATATGTTTTAATAAAAAATGCACATCCTTTCATTGTATCGCAAATCGCTAAGAATAAGCTTAGTGCTGAGAACGCGCTTTCTACACTATATTGTGTCGCTAGCACTTGATGCATAATACATGCCACATCTCTTAGTCGGGGGGTATATCAATTTTTTACTCTCCCAGTAATCCATATGGTCCGTATTAACACCAATGCGCTTCTTATAGGTGCCTATATCCATAGATGCTTTTCGAGCGTAATCTTCGGAAACACTAAAAGTGAAGTTTTGACTTTTAGGGTTGGCTTTCCTTTATGGCCGTTCGTTAAAGGGGCGGTGGGCGAAAGGTAAGTGCGCGTGGCACCTCTAACCCACCTTTTTGGAGAGGGAATGAACCGCCATTGACAAAAATACAACCCCCGACCACCTAGGTCCCCTATAGTTCCCTAGGGACCCCTTAGAAAAAAGGTCGGTTGGAGGTGCCACGCCTACTCCCCCTTCGCCCACCACACCTTTAACGAACGGCCATTATGGAAAGTTTCCCCGACTTTTATATCTGACTGAAAAAATAAAAGTCAAATTTTAACTTTTATATTTGACCGAAAAAATAAGCGTCAAGTGTTAACTTTTGTTTTTGACCGAAAAACTAAGTCATATCTTAACTTTTATTTTTAACCGAAAAAATTTAAGTCAACTTGTAACTTTTATTTTTGACTGAAAACATATCGGTGAAAAATAACGATTATTTTTTAACTTATTTGATAAAAAGCATAACCGTTACGGTCCCTGCTATAAACATAAAATCAAAGAAATTGTCTTTGAAAGCTTTGTGGGGAAATGTTTAGTTATTGGCCCATCGTTTTTGGGGTGGAAGCGGAGGGGGCGGGGGCGTGGCCCCCCAAACCCCCTCATTCGTAAGGGGACAGTCGCCACTTTACGCCTTGCTATTGGCGAATTTATAAAAGGTGGTGTTACTGGCGAATTTAGATTTTCGCCGCGGTACTTCCTAATGTCAAAATGATGTGTTTGTTGTAAACCAGGCGAATTCATATCACAACTCGCCAGTAACACCACCTTGTATAAATTCGCCTTGGCTAATCGCCTAATTTTCAAAATTCGAAAAAACATCGGAAACATCGATGATTCGTTCCCACGACAGTCGGGTCTACGTAAACGGAACGACCCAGATTTAAGGTGCCCACACTCACCGACGTGTACGTATACCGTGTCTGTTCGGCGTAGCAACATATAAAATTTACTGTTGATAGAGCGAGAGGGAAGCACGCGTAACCGTCGCACGTACACGGTGGTGAGTTTTCGTTTACATGTCGCTCTCATAAGTTTGATCGTGTCAGCCACACTCACATACGTTAACGTGTCAGTTGACGCGATGAAATTTATGAGAGCGCCATCTAAATGGAAACTAACCACCGTGCACGTGCGACGGTTACGCGTGCTTCTCTCTCTCTATCAACAGTAAATTTTATATGTTGCTACGTCAAACAGACACGGCATACGTACACGTCGGTGAGTGTGGGCACCTTTATATCTGGCCAAGGACTGTCACTCCAGCAACACTCCCCAAACACCCTTTGGGAACTTGTATGCCGCTACAACAACAACAACAACATGGTTGTTATTCGATCAAGAATGATAGAATACAAGATTGCGCCGATCAGAGAGGTTTTTTGAGAATAACTTTTGTGTGACGTCACACTGGTGCAATCGCGAGAGAGAAATGCCAAAACGTGAGCAAGAATGGAAGAAGAAGAAAAAATGTTGCAAGGAAAACGTAAAAAAGTTGCACAAGTGTGACGTCATGCAAACACCGATGCTGTCAAATTCGTTAAGAGAGAGTGGCGAATACTGCGGCAACACAAAGCGAACAACGAGAAATAGGCAGAATGATCGAGGAATGACGTAGAATGTTGCACAAAGAGAAACGTCAAGTTGGATGAACACTGTGAACAGCGAGAGAAAGGGAATGAGCGATAAACTTCAGAATGTTCTAGAGTTGCCATCAAGAATGATAGAATACAAGATTGCGCCGTCCTGGGCGTTGACATTTGTGTACCACAAGTAAACAAAGAACAGAGCGAAAAGAAGAACGAGTTGAAACTGCCAAAACAGTTCACTTTACAGCGAAAAACCTGTTTTAATTTTGCTAAATGCGAAAATATTGCATTTCTGTTAAAGAATATGTAACATTTTAGTGCACTCCATTGCCTTGCAATTAAGGCTGCTGCAGAAAACTGCGGCAGCATCTCAGCGGGATTGATTAGTTAGCTTGCTAATGGAGGCTGCTTGGAGCAGAAGCAAAATCATTGTGGGGAAATCAAGGGGAATTTATACAAGGTGGTGTTAACAGAGCAAAAACAAAAATTACAACAACAAATTATACGCTCCCTGACAATCAGTACAAATCCAAATTACAACAAACACATGATTTTGACGAAAGGTACAAATTCGCCGTGAAATCAGCGGATCCGATAACACCACCTTGTATAGATTCGCCTTGGAGGAAATGCTGTTAATGTAATAATAAAGAAACATTTTGGGAACGGCTTTGCCGTGCCCTATGTACACAAAATTCAGCGATTCGTCCCAGCGCTACACTTGCATCTACGATTCTTGGATCTTGATGGCTGTCGCAATTTAACACACAGCACTTCATTTTAGTAGTTTTACGCAGTCTTCAACTCAAAGATCACTCACAAATTACAAATTAACACAATTTAAACTGGTTTTTCACTTATAATTCAAATTTCTCTTTCGCTGATTTGTAAACAAAGTTTTATTTACAAGTTACCACAACTGTCAAAATCGGCAAAACCAAAGTAGCGGTACCACTGACGGCGCCACCTTTGTTCGCTGCACCTTGAGTTGCCATAAGTGCCAGCGCAGGTATATAAGGGCGCCGACACAGCGGAGTTGAGTTAGTTACAGGCTAACCTAATATTCACGCACGCCGCCAATTTACTGTCAAAAATTTCTCATGCACATACAACTTGTATGGGACCAACCGAAATTGAACGGCGTGCGTATGAAGCTAACTCAATTTCCAATTTTTGTTCTGCGTGACATTTTGATTTGACGTTTCGCTCAATGAAATCAAATGCAAACGCACGCAAGCCAATTTCGGGTGACGCAAAAAAACAAATTCGACGGCGTGCGTACCAAAACGCAAGCCGCGAATATTAGGTTAGCCTGTTACGAGTTGCAAGTCAGCAAGCTACGAGTAAAGTGAGCAGAGAAGTGAGTTGCGAACAAGCAAGTTATAAGTTTAATTGTGTTAACAAGTTCAGTAAAGCGTTGTTATTGCTTTAACAAGTATTGTAAAGTGTTTTTACTGTATTAGCGAGTATTGTAAATTGTTTGTT